GCAGTGCTTCCCAATTACTATTTGCCGGCGTATAAGACGACCCGGCATATAAGACGACCCCCCCAATTGGAGGCATGTTTTTCAGGGCAAAAAAGTCGTCTTATACGCCGGCAAATACGGTAATTGATTTACAAACTGCAGCTGTACTCAAAATTTCTATCGCTCAGCACAACAGTTGCTAAGTGACTTTTGCCTCGTTTTATGGCCTCGTTTTTTGTGCCACAGTTGTACAGTGAATCACTGCAATTCTAAAGTTAGTAGCAATAGCACTTAGACTTACATACCACTTCACAATGGTTCTAAGCAATTTACAGTCAGTGTAGGTAGGTAGGTAGGTAGGAAGGAAGGAAGGAGGGAAGGAAGAAAAATAGCAATAGCCCTTAGACTTATATGCCACTTCACAATGGTTCTAAGCAATTTACAGTCAGTGTAGGTAGGTAGGAAGGAAAGGAAGGAAAATAGCAATAGCACTTAGACTTATACACCACTTCACAATGGTTCTAAGCAGTTTATAGTCCATGTAGGTAGGTAGGTCGGTAGGTAGGGAAGGAAGGAAGGAAGGAAGGAAGGTTATATACCACTTCAGTGTTTTACAGCTTCCTCTAAGCGGTGTACAGAGTCAGCCTCTTGCCCCCAACAATCTGGGTCCTCATTTTACCCACCTCGAAAGGACGGAAGGCTGAGTCAACCTTGAGCCGGTGACATTCGAAGTGCCAAATTGCAGGCAGCCGGCAGGCAGTCGAAGTAGCCTGCAGTACCGCACGCTAACCACTGCACCACCGCGGCTCACTTAACACGGTTAAGTGAATCTGGCTTCCCCATTGAGTTTGCTGGTCGGAAGATCGCAAAAGGTGATCACATAATCCAGGGACACTGCAACCGTCGTAAATATGAGCCAGTTGCCCAGCGCCCGAATTTTGATAACGTAACCAAGGCGATGTTGCAACCATCCTAAGCGTAAACCCCTTTTTACAGCGACATTAAAACAGTCACAAAACAGACGGTTGTAAGTTGAGAACTAATTGTACCTAAAACTACCTAAAAGTTGAGAACTAATTGTACCTAAAACTAATCCAAAGACCCCGGTGCTTAACGGAATACGAAGACACTGAAGCTTAATTTAGAGCAGCACACACAAATACCCGCAACGTATAAAGGTAAAACAAGGAGAAAAATGTTATAATTTCATAGGTAATTGACACCTAGGTTGGCTGTAACCTCCATGACAAATTTAGGTCCCTTTGTTTAGTTATTCTGTGTAGACGAGACAGTGAAAACCTACCTAAAGAATCCAAAGTAAGAGCAAAATTCTTTCTTTAAAATCTTTAGAGAAATGAAGTCATTCTTGCCAATGTTGCTTTGACCTGGTTTCTATTTTTGTTCTACCCAGACTATGATGTCGATTTGTGCAACGGGGAATAAAAACAATGTTGATTTCGCCTATGTGCCCATCACCTAGAACTGTCTGCTGTCATCAGCCCCAAATATTTGAGCAGGGAAGACGCCGTGAGGCTGGATGTCAAGAAAAGAACATTTTTTTTTTCCAGGGCCAAACGTGGTTAGTTTTGCATCTTAAGAGGAATTGTATTGTGGAGTCAACAGATGAATATTTTAAACAGCGCTGGACTCGGCTGTTTTTGAGAGATTTCATAAAGGTTTGTGCAGCATCAGCAATCTTTTGATTGTTGAGATGCTATAATGGCCTCGTATTGACAAAACCAAGGGAATAACTCACATACGGTACGTCTTGTTTTAATTAAGGTTTGCTTTTTTAAGTGGGAGAAAGGAAACTTTGATTTTTTTAAAAAAAAGATTGTTTTAAAGTTTAGATCCCGCTTTCTAAATGGATGCAGTTTGGTGGCACGATAATTGGAGGGCTCCGGACGGCCACATCTTGTGTTAACACAAGGCTACAGCAAAGCTAAGAGATTTAATTTCCTTAGACAAGCAATAAAAGAAATTTTTGTACTCAAGAGATGGGAGGTGAAGGGCTGCCTAGGGCAAGAACAGAAATCCTGGGATTTTTGAACCGTTTCGTTCCTGACACAGACTTGCAAGTGGCAAATGCGTACCTCCCAAGCAGTCCTCGAGTTATGACCATGTGAGCCCAAAATTTCCATCGCTAAGCAAGACCGTTGTTTAAGGGACGCTTGCCCCATTTTATGATATTTCTCACCACCGTTGTTAAGTGAATCACGGCAGCTGTTAAGTTAGTAACCCGGTTGTTAAGTGAATCTGGCTTTTCCCCATGGATTTTGCTTTGTTTTTTTGAGGTCATAAAAAGGGGATCACATGATCCTGGAACACTGCAACTGTCGTATGAGCCAGTCACTAAGCATCTGAATTTTCATCACATGATATGGACAGGCTGCAACAATGGTGTGAAAAAACAGTCATAAGCCACTTTTTCAGGGCCACTGTAATTTTGGACACTAAACGAATGATTGTAAATCAAAGACAGCCTGTACTTTTGACAGAGGCAGTCTTCTCCCTCTTTCTGAGGTCAAAAACTTTGCTTTTCCTGTTGACTTTTTATCAGAAAAGCCATCACAGATTCAAAAGTTCAAGGACGAGACATTTTCCTTTCTACAACAAAAGAGAACCTTAAAATTTATTAATGCTGTCTCCGCAAACGTCTACGAAAAATTCTTAAAACTCCTACACAAGTGCAGAACCAAACCTCTGGCTCAGATCTTTTGGAAATATTTCTTTTATGATCGATAAAAGTCGACCTTGGTGGGATGACCACACCCGGATTATTACTTTTTTAATTGTTAGCTGTCACTTGGGACAATACGTTCGCTGAGTCTTTGCACGCCGCTAATTCTGTCTCGTTTTTGCTTTTATTCCTTTTCTTCAGCTGATCTTACACTGGTTTGTTACGACATTAATGTCACATGTTTTTGTTTTTAAATTTTTTAAAAATGCTATGTTTTGATATTCAGTCCTGTTAGGGTATTCAGCCGTTAAAAAAAGATTTATATCCCCTGTTCGTTAGAAAAGCAAAATTATCCCCCGTCCCATTTGCAAATATGAGACTAAGAGAGAGAGGTAAAAAAATTGTTCAACAAGTCCTTTCGCACAGTCCGATGTCATTTCAAGTCCCCGTTGTTGTTTTTTGTCTACACAAAAAACCTACACAACCTCTGGGGTGTTGTGTTTCATCTCTGGACCCCTCCAAGTTCAGCTCTTCCAGGCAGGAACCAAACAAAACCCACCTTTAAAAGCTCAATTTCCAAGCAAGGTATGAGACCCAAGCGGCCAACACCTGAAGATGATAACCAGGTCTTCTCAAAACATTGGCCAGGGGGAAAACTGGAGGAAGGGAGAAGTGGGCAAACTTTTGCCAAAGAAATCGGAAAGTTTTCTCGTCCGGTTTTGCTCCAGAATCAGAGGGACTTCCGGGGTCGCTTGAGGAAGGACAAGGCGTAAGTTCGGGGAGCGGAAACCTTCTGTTTTTTTAGCTGGACCTGCGATTGGGCCGTGAGCTGGAGTTTGATGGCGCTGGAGTTGATCTTGGCCGCTACCAGGAGCTCCTTCATGCCTTTCATTTTCTCACTCTGGAAGGTGAGGGCGAGGCCTTCGGGACGGGGGCTGGAGCTGCTGCTGAGACCCTCCTCCTTCTCCGTAAGTGGCCTGTCGGATCGCTGGGTGGTGCTCAGACGCCGGCGTTCTGTGGCTTTCTTGGCCAGGGGCGGCTCTTCCGGCTTGGATTCTCGGCGAGGACCACGACGCCGGCCTTCTCGGGGGTCCTCACTGCCTTGGTCGTCGTCATCGTTCGCATCCAGGTCCCGGCTCGCCAGGGTTATCTTTTGCCGCACCTGGAAAAGCAAAGATGTCAACTCATAAAATACTTCTCTGGTCTTTTAGAGTTGCCAAGAGAAAGGGAGGGGAGAGCAGTGCAACAGCTTGGAAATCGAAAGTGCATTCCACAAATGTTTTCAAAGATAGTAACTAGGTGACTGAAGTTTCTGCCGGGCAAAATACTAACTGGAGAGCCTGATTGATGACTCTGGGCTATGAAGGTGTCCCATTGGAGAATATGAATTACGATACACCCGGGGGTGGGGGAAAACCAGGGTTAAGAGTGACAGTGAATGATGTGTCTCAGAGTTGGCTACAGCTAGGCAGTGCTGGCATGTTAACTCCCAATAAGTCCTTTTGAAGTTTTGGAAGTTTGGCTCGAGACTCATGATTGAATTGGGGGTAACGGCCGGAATCCTGACAAAGGAAGGTTCTTGCAAACTGTCTGGGGAACTGTGTTTCTCAACCTTGGCACTTTTAAGAGGGCTGGACTTCAACTTCCAGAATTCCCCAGCTAGCATGCTTTAATATGGGTGGACTTCAATTCCCAGAATTCCCCAGCCAGCATGTTTTAAGAGTCATGGAGTCAGACTCCCAGAATTCCAGTCAACATGCTGCTTGTGGAATTCTGGGAACTGAAGTCCATCCCTCTTAAAGCTGCCAAGGTTGAGAAGGTCTGATTTAGCCAATGCAAAATATCTCCCATGCCATGCATTCTTAAAATTCCTAGATTAATTTATTCACTTGTAAGTGCATCCTGTTTTTCAAATGCAAGTCAGCCTTGTAATTTTAGCTCGTGCATTAGCCTCTGTGTTGTATTTTAAATTGTGCAACTGGCTTGGAAGATGTTGAGCTGGTATTACACTGTCTCCCTGAGCTTCAAAATTCCCAGGGATATGGACTGCAGTTGTGGGAATAAATCCGTCTGCCATTGAGACAGAAAGAGGGAACGAAAGGAGAGAAAATACAAGTAGCCTTAAACTTACAAGCATTTTTGTAGTGACGGTTTCAAAGTTACAATGGCACTGCAGGCTGGGGAATTCTGGGAATTGTACTGCAGGCATCTTACAACTTGCTGGCTAGGGAATTGTAGTTCAGGCATCTTAAAGCATACTAGCTGGGGAAATCTGGGAGTTGAAATCCACTTATTTTAAAATGGATTTCACTTTAAAGCATGCTGGCTGGGGAATTCTGGGAGTTATAGTTCAGACACCTTACAACATGCTGGCCGGGGAATTCTGGGAGTTGTAATCTAGGCATTTTAAAGCATGCTGACTGGGGAATTCTGGGAGTTGTACTGCAGACATCTTACAACCAACTGGCTAGGGAATTGGAGTTCAAACATCGTAAATCAGGCTGGCCGGGGAATTCTGGGAATTGTAGTTTGAACATCTTAAAGCATGCTGACTGGGGAATTCTGGGAGATAATATTTCACACATCTTAAGCATTACCAAGGTTGGAAACACCACTTTACAGTCTTCTCCTGCTCTATGCAGCACATGGCAATTCTCCCACCCTGCACTACACCACATTTCCTTTGGCCCCCAAGCCCTATAAACCCCCCGCTCGGCTAACCCCAGATCCCCAGCCCTCTCTCTGTGTGTCAAGGCTGACGTCTCACCGTCCCATCGAAGCGGCTCAAGGACTGGACCAGGAAGGTGGCCCAGCCCACGTGGAGGACGGGCGTGGGGCTGCCCTCTTCCCATTTGCAGATGCCGTCATAGAAGCGCAGAAGGTGGGCGAAGCACTCGGGGTCCTGCAAGGCCGAGCCTCCCGTTTGAGATGGCGAAGCCTAAAGAGGAAGTCAAATTCTTCAGTGACGGGAGCACAGGTAACCCTTGACTGACAACCGGTCGTTTAGGGCAGGGGTCACCAACCTTTTGGACCGCGGGGACCACCAAACTCATAATTTTAGATCCCAGGGACCACTAACTGGTTCTGTGGGCGTGGCCTAATTTGTGGGTGTGGCTTGGTGGTCATGTGATTGACTGGGCATGGCTTGTATGTAAATATTATAAATATTTATATAAATATTGAATTTTTTATTTAAAAAAAGAGCAACTTTTACCCAAAATCAGGCAAAGCAGGCAGATTG